CATCTGTCGGATGTACCGATGATCTTCTTGGATATAACCCTTCAGGAGTAATAACAAAAATTGACAAATCATCGGTTGTTGGTTTCAGGTGAGGAGTTTGACTTTCTTTCTTATTGTCAATATTAGTTTCCATTTTGTCATGCGAAAGGGCTTTATCAAAAAGTTCAAGAAATTTGTAAACACCATTTATTCGAACTTCCTCCTCATCAAATTGTTCATTTCCCGTCTTTAATTGATTAGCGGGAACAGATTCCGTTGGAATTAAAATGAATCTTGTCCTCCAGAATTTTAAGGGTTCTAAAACTAAAGGCTCCAAGAGAACATCCTGATATCCACAAACCAATTGATCCACATAATTCCATTTATAATCTATATGTGGATAAGTAAACTTTACAGTTCTAGGTTCATAAGATTTTTGACATTTAGGCCAAACAACACAAGTATATGGGATTGGTGTTGATTCGTATTGAATCTTTCGTACGTATCTTTTGACCTCAATGGTTGGCCCTGAAGGATCATAAGTCAATTGGTGAACGTGACGTCCCATACTAAGATAATATTGATTTGACGTTGGGAATGATTGATCTTTCCAAATTTGTGATTTGATCTCAGGACTCCTTGAGAAATTATCCAAAGGGTTGACGACCTTTGAAGTGTTATCAACGATACAACCATTTGAAACGATCAATTGATATCCCTGAGATAATCGTTGGGAGATCATTTCGTTTAATAAAACTTCCGTTTTGCTTTCTTCCGTGACATTGTTATTATTCTCTTGATTCATTGTGAAAACATCGGAATCAATAGAGATCGTATAAGCATGCTCTTCATATGCTCCATGTTCATTAAATGGGGGACAATAATCAGTTGTCAAAGGAAGGCAAGCAGGAGTGCATAAAGAATTCCATTTCATTGTATTTATTGATAAATGTTTTGGAAATACATGTTCCCACCTACGAAGGTGTATACTCATTCCGTGACGATGTTGAGATTTTGAAGGATTACAAGGGTTAATCAAAGTCTGACGTGAATTTTGACGAGAAGAAACAAATTTCCCCGGGGATTGTTTAAAAAAGTATCTTCCTTTTTCACTGCAATAAGATCCATCGACAAAACTTCCCTTTGGTGATTGTGGAGAATCTCCAGCATGTCTCTGGTAGTAACGTGATGAAGATTTTATTGATATAGGTTTGGTGCTTGAAGTTAAAAAAGTACCTTCATCTTCTTCGATCGGCTCGTTAATCTTAAGATTTCCTTCATGATAACTACCACCACTATCATGCCCATATGTAATTTGTGAATGAGATCTTGAATATAAACCTTTGTTTATCATTGAATTTGTCGGGGGGTGTAAAGTATTTCCTTCCATCAAATTTAAATTGGTACCAGATAATCGATTTGATTTTAAGGGAAAAGAATTTCCCTTGGAAGGAGATTCAATCATTAGATTTGGAGCGATTGTTTTTGGTAAACTTCTTGAGAATTCATTGGAATTGCCCTTTACAGGCATGGAGATCATACAATCATCATGGGAACGACGTAAATCTATTAAACGACCCATTAAGGAATCATGAGATGCTTGTTGTTGCAGAGAAAATCCGATTTGTTTTGATTTTAAAGAATAAAAGATACTATCGTCATAAGCATCATAATCGAATTCATTATTAGAGGAGGAGGAAGAAGAAGAAGTAGCGGAAAAACGAGAGTCATTTTCTAAATAAGGAATGATGATGGAGGAAATTTCATGTTCCATAATTCCCATCATTTGAATTTCATACATTTTACACCTCGTAGTAAATTTATCAGGTTTAAAAGGTTTATCTTGATGTCTAGAATAAAAACTACAGTCAATCCAATCAGGGGTTATATAATACGTATGATTTGCATCGATTGGATTTTCATCGTAGTCTAACGGATCTCTTAATTCTAACTTTAAATCTTTTGATTGGGATAAGGAAGATTTATTACCAAATCTATTGTTCTGATCCCACCAATCTGGTGGTGGAGCCTTTGATAATTCTTGTGATTTAAATTCAAATAAGGGAACGGAATGAAGAGGAATTTTTGAAAGGCAAACGAGGTCTAAACCGATACCATTATCAATCATACGTTCCGTTGTTATACGTAAATGCTTCTTGTCAACTTCAAATCTACCACATCCCGGAGTTATTATGATGACTGATAATCCGGTACGTAATAAATCCCTATCAACGTAATGCCTATCAAACGGATTTAATGCTAAGTTGATGGCCTCTAATATATTTCCTTCAAAAGCATAAGAATTTTTTCCCAACAAGATTTTGATCGATTCACCATCCGGAGTCTTACTCTCTCTTAATAAAATATTTGGTTGATATTGTAAAAGTTCTTGTTTGAGTAATTGAAGTACGAAACTCCATTCAGCTCTTATCTCCCAATCAATGATAACCTTATAAAAATCTTTATACCATTTTCCTTCAGGGTTTTTTTTAAGTGTTTCATCATCTTTTAATTCAGGATCATTTACCAAGTCTTCATATTCATAAAATATTCTTGTAAATAAAACTATGGATACCACATGATTTGTACCTAAATCCTTCCAACGTTGAAATAATTCCGTAAAAAATCCATCAATCGCTTTCTCATAATATAATTCCCCATCTTCATCAAATTCCCACATTTCCCTTGACATTTGTATAAAGATAAATAATTTTGCCGATTCCGATCTAAATATAGGTTTTGTATTTTCCGTGATATACCCGCATGATGATTGTTCTCCTTTAACGTAAATCTTCTTCACCTGAGCTCTTATGCATCCCGCGAATTCTATCCTTTTTCCTATATATACACATGTACGATAAAGACTTCTGCTCAAACGCCACATATCACTTCTACCAATATATTGATCCCTAAATGAAAATTCTACATAATCTGCCGTAACTGATTCCTCATCGACCTACATTCCTCGAAAAGAGGGGAAATTAAAGATTGCATCTTACAATAATATAAGTGTGGTGTGTATTTCACTTACCTCTCTTACAAAAACGTTCGTCCTTGTCTTAAATCCAAATACATTTGCAATATGACTTGCCAATGAAATCTATTTAAAAAGAAAAAAAAAATTATTTATCTTTAAAAAAGATTTTTCTTTTTTTTAAAAAATAAAAAGATGAATAATCAAATAAATTATTATGATGACCTTTTTTTTAAAATAAAAATTAATAAGAATTACCTGTAAAATCGGTCTTTCTTTACCAATATTCTCCTTGTCAAAGAGACCAACTTTAACGATTAAATGTTTGGTAACATCAGACACTTCATTAGAATGATAAATTTCTAATAATTGTCCAGGTTTTGTTCCGGGGACGAAATCGGGGTTCAATATAAAATCTTGTTTAGGAAACAGATCCGGATGAACCCATAAAGTCAACATTTTGGCCTTTTGAGAGTGAGAAATCGTATTCGTGTTGATCGTATACGTTGAAGAATATGATGTTGGAGTTGGTGTTGGGATGGGCGTCGGTGGTTTTGGTTGAGTAAGAATGTTATTAGATGATGTATTATTTTCAGAATCCATTTTCATAAGCTAATGATGCGTTTATGCGGAATTTCGTTATAGAGTAACAAATCAGGAAATTTTGGATTATTAAACGAAAAGAAGAAATTTTTCAACTTTTTTTTTTTTTTAATGTACAATGATGATTTTTTTTAATGCACATGAAAATAATTGATGTAAAAGAACATTAACATAATACAAAGATTTGAAATCAGAAAAAGCAAGTAACGAAACAAAATTGTAATTAATCTAACTACATATGGACGTTTATATAATTACGCAATACAATCGAAAAAAAAAAAAAAAATTCACCTTCCCAAAAATAAAATTTAGAAAGGAATAATTTTTTTTTTTTTTTTTTTTTTTTTTTTTTTTTTGATTAAGGTTTTTTATTTTATTTAATATTTTTCAAGTGTTTCACAATCCCATAAAAACTTAAGATCGATCATGAGGAGCCTCTTATTATTTTTTTTTTCTGCCGACTTGACTATAAATTCGTGTAACAATATGAGCCCGGACCTGTTCAAAAAATATATTCCCGGCATTATATTCTATTAAACAAGAATTTTCTGTTCCTGATAACTTTTCGATACCCAATTTATTGCATTTTAGAAATTTGCTTCTCTTTGATACCTTGAGAGTTTTTTTATTCATCAAAATTTATATATTTGTTTATTGATTTGTTTTTTACATAATTATCATGTGAAAATCAGATCAGACTGTATATACGTTGTGATCACGTCACGTGTACAATAATGAAATAATTCCATTTAAGTTATACGCAAATTAAAAATTTCTTATTTCTTCAAACATTAATTCTAAATATATCCGGAAGAATTTTGGTTTTTTTAAGAACTGGTCCGAATAGAATTTTCTATTCCATAGTTTTTTCTTAAAATTTTATCTAGGTCTAGGTACATTTATTACTAAAGTCCTGAAAGATGAATTATAAAAAGATACAAAAATTTCAAGAGGTATAATAAGAAATTTATTTGTGCGTTTTCAATAAATCACTATATGAATATTTAGAGAGAAAATCACATAAAATAATGAATTTTCGTATTTACTTTATCTTATTCAATTAAAATTTCCATATTTTCCTTTTTATTTCTCCTTTATTCTAAAATTCCCGAATAACTTTTCACCAAAATCCTCTTTTTTTTTGATTTTTATGAATAATATCAAAAATTCCCCAATGTCCCTATTATCTGTTACATTTTCTTTTCTTGAAAATGATATTTTTTTAATTAGATTAGATCATTATTTTCTGATGATTAATTTTTTTCAAAGTATGATAAAATAATATCATACCTCGAAAAATCAAATGACCTCTTAATCCTACTATTGACTTTTTAACAAGATATTTAGCAAAAGTCATTGTTCCAATTCCAACTTTTTTATTTACGTAAATTAGTAATTACAAAATTGTAAAAAACAGTAAATTGAGATACTCACCATTAAAATCCTACGGCCCAATAATCACTCTTTTAAATCCATTTGGTCTTGTTGTAGCTTAGAAAATCAAAGTAAAAAAAATTGTTGTCAAGAAAATTGGAAAATACTGAAAAGAAACAAAATTTTCGGTAAATTCATACCATATTTTGACAATGAAGCTCGATATGCAGCGATTTTGCCATAATTTGCTAAATGAAAAAAAAAAATTTTAAAAAAAAATTGATGACAAATCTTATCACAAATAATGAGATGATTTACATTTGAAAAAGTTCCCACTAGCGTAAGGATGATGACGCTTTGGAAGTATAGAAGAAACATATTTCTTTGGACGGTCAGGTTTTATGAAATGCCAAAGGATATCTTCATACAAATCATCAGGAAATATTTTTCGATATGGAGAAACTTTAGTATCGAAATCTTCCGAAGACATATTAAAAAATCGTATAACGGGCAAAAATTTTGATAGAGTTTTTTTCAAATTATTAAAATCTTCATCAGTATAATCATTAAGGTCGTCAGGCAAATCTGTATGTTGCATAATCCCCCAAGTAAGTATATGATACCAAATATCTGATTCTTCCATTTGCAATTCATCTTTTTCAATTATGGATAAAAGAATTGTCTCATCCAAGTGATAAAAATGAGGAGTTTCAAAAAGCATCCAAGGATTCGTACATATTGTTGAAACACAACAGTTTTGTAATTCTTTCCAAGTTTCATGTTGAAACGCGGCATTTAACGTTTCTAATGGATGTTCCTTTATCCATGATGCTTGATGTGATGCAAGATATTTTTGAACATGTTCGGAAAGTGTCGGAAGGATCAATTCATCAGAAGCAGACAATAGACCAAGCAAGTGTTGAACATCTTTATCATCTAACTTTAATTCACTCGAATACATGAACCTAAAAAAATAAATAAAAAAATAATTTCAATTTAGACAATTGTAAGAAAGGCATTTTCTATTTGTTACATAAAAAAATGAAAATAATATTTCTTCGTTATTTTATTTGTTTGTTTTATATTATTTACTTGAGAATATCTTCAAATATCGCAGGTGTGACATTTGGTTTTGATAAGAACATTTTATCTCCCTCCCTTTTTCCCCATTGAGCTGACAAAGCAGTATGAAAATAAGGTGTTTGAGTTCGCAAGATTAATGAGTGTGCATAAAATGTTTTTACATCTTCACCACTTCCAACAGTTATAGATACATCACTAGTTTCTTCTTCTTCGAGAAGTTTTGCATAATTCTTGGCAACACTTTGCCATAACTTTGCTGATAATTTCATCATGAATAAAATAATATATATATAAAAAAAAAAAAAAAAAATGTTGATATTTTACAAAGAAAAAAAATTATGGAGAGGAAAAAAAAGGAAAAAAAAAACTTTTTTGTGTTGCATGTGCGAATAATATAACCTCCTATTTATTAGTGTAATCATGATAAGATCATGTTATGTCGCACAACGTAAGCCACAACTAAAATTTATAGTCGTTGTCGAATGTTAAAAAAAATTTTTTACGTTTAGGTAAAAAAAAAAAAAAGAGAAGGGTTAAAATAATACTCATTATATTAATAATCAAATAATCGTTTTCCGACCTGAAATTTGATTGGCCAAACGTTATCCATCACGTGTAACGTGTTCCGGACAGGATCACCAGTTTTTAATTGTTGATCACGACAATACACGCCGCCCCTTTTTTTTTCATGGCTAAATTGTCGGTTAAGCGTTTTTACATCATTACGAAAATCCTATTGTGTTTTTTTTTTTAATTTACTTTTAAGGATAATTTCGCAGTTAATGCATTAACTCTATCAGTTTCTCTTGATAGGCTGGTTATCTTGCAATCTCAAAGATGGGAACCATGCGGAGGAAGTGCACGGTGATCGGATAATTATTTACGACAAAGGAGCAGCATCTTATGTGGTGTGTAATTTGCAAAATTGCATTGGTAAAAAAAGTTGCAACATCTCGAAATTGTTTAATTCTTTTGTTGTGATGTCAACAAAGCCAACCCTTTTTTGGAAATTTTTAATGAAGAAAATTTTGAAGGTAAATTACCATTAAAGAGAAAGAAGTTCCAAATAAATATGTAAATAAGTATTTTTATTTATGAATTGAAATGAATCTCGTTTTGAGATTTACATGCATTATTATGTATATTATTAAATTATCAATAAAAAAAATAAAATAACAAACCTCTCTTAATATCCTTTGTTATATATACCTATTCGAACAAAAAAAAAAAATTGTTTTAAAAAAAAAAAACCATCCGATATTCAAGATATTATATTTTGTGGTGGTGTAACATAAATTTTTTTTTTAGAATGAAACTTTAATTTATAGGGAGTTAGTTATCTAGTTATCTCCCCTTCGAATAATTTATTATTTTTTTTTTTTATTATTTTTTGTGTGTCAGCTAATCACGTTGTTATGTACGTGTCGTGTTGATTAAATTCTAAATAAATACAACAAATTTACTTAATTGTACCTCCTAAATTTCTAATATCTTTTCACTCATGCTGTAGTAAAATTACATTGAAAGTTTGTGAAAAAATCTCTGGGATTTTTTTTTTTATTTTTTTTTTTTTTTACTTTATATTAACTTTTTTCACCAACTTTTTCATTCTCAAAAAAGAATTTTCGGCAACGAAAAAAAAAAAATTAAGAATAATAAAAAATACAAATTCCCTTGGCCCTTTGTGACAATTCTTTTTCGTTTAATTTTTTGTTTTTTTTTTTCATAAGCAATATTTTTTATTTTATTTCCCGATCAAATGCAAAAAATTATCCGTTCAGTAAAACGGTGGCGCAGCAAACATCATGTCGATGTTTTCACAAATATACCGCATGAAATAGTATTAATAATCATAAAACATTTGGATTATAACGCCCACGATATTGCTGCTTTATCCAGGGTAAGTTTTTGTTTGTTTCAATATTTGCCAGTTTTTGTTAATTAGTTTATTTTATTATTATTATTATTTTTTTTTTTTTAAAAAAAAATTTTTTTTTTTTTTTTTACGTATAAAATAGGTAAACAGAAAATTGCGATATCATACAAAAGACAACTTTTTATGGTACAAGTTATGTTTATTGTATTTCCCTGATCATCTATCTAATAAATCAAATGAAAGTAAGTTTGGACAAACAAAAGATTGGATGAAAATATTTAGAAAATTATGTAAGTGACATGACTTTTAGGCAAAAGTTTTGATTTTCTTTTCTCTTCTTTACTTTTCTTTCTATGGTTAACATATGAAAATCGGTTAGATTGGAAGAATCACACGATAGTATTTGCCGAAAATATTGAGGCAAAAGAATTAGTAAGTTGCGGATGGTTCCCAAAATTCGGTCAATTCTCGGATATAAAAACGTAAATTATCTCATTATTCCTCATCCGATACATTTTGACGATTTTTGTGTTCAATAAAAAATAAATAAATAAATAAATAAATATTTCCATTTAGCGACCACGCACATCTAAAAATCGTAAGAGCGATCCAAGAATCTTTTGAAGTAAGTTGCATTTTATTAACATCCTTACTTATTACACTTTGTAAAATTTAACAATTAATGATCTCTCTTTTTTTTTTGATAGATGGATGTTAAATTTGAATCCATTTCACCCGGAATTTATGAAGTTGTATGGGAAATGAACATTTACAACTTACAAAAGGCTCAAAAATTTCAATTTGTAACCAAAATCTTCCACAAGGTGAATAAAGTTCAAATACATAATCTACTTTATAACATAATTGTCAACCTTAACCTTTTCCATGGACGTCTATTATTGTAGAATTATGATTTAAAGGAATACTCTCACAATCCGCCCCCGGAAGCATTTAAAAAAATTTCAGATAAAGGGTGGTTTAAATATAGAGCACCCAAAAGGATTATCATCGATAAGGATCAAATTATTTCTACCAAATTCATTGGTCATGCCAAAATGTGTTTTAGCAATCCACAAGAGTGGCCGGCACCTATGGTAGGTACTTTAATGATTTTATTCTTTTTCGCGAATAATTGAGGAGAATGTGTTGACTAATATATCAATTTAAAACGTCTCAAGGCATTGTACTGTGTATATTTGAAAAGATACAAAAATGACATAGATTATAATAAAGTACAGCGTAAGGGTTTTATTAATAGATTATTACGTAGATAAGAATAGAAAATTATTAGATTTAAATTTAGAATTATTAGGAAAAAAAATAATATAGATTTTATAACAATTTTAATATAATTGATTAATGAAAATTGTAAGGCATGAATTATTAAGATTTATGTAAATATGATATGAATTTTTTTTTTTTTTTATAATGTTAATGTTAATGATAATAATAAAAATATTAAATTCTGTAATTACAATTTCTATTTAACATGATATTTCTCAAATATACATAAAGTTATTTATCATCGCTAAAAGCTTAGCATTTTGGTTAACCTTTTAATACTTTTTGACATTGTTTGATCTTTTTTAGGAGTCGACAATGCATCGTTTGTACATCTTTGTAAATGTACACAATACAATTCCTAATTAATAAATAAAAAAATTTTTTTTTTTTTTTTATTAAATTTTTGTCGTTTAAAAATCAAAAACCTAGATACTTACTAATGATTCAAACCACAAGGAGCCTTCATTTTCCTCGAGTGTTGTATATCTTCTAAATTCAGTTTTCACGTGTTGTTCGTGTTCTACCACGATTTTATTCGGTACTTTAAAATTACACCAGCCTTGTTTGGACATCTTTTTAAATTCTTCAGGTTTGGGTTTATATGAATACGTCTTTAAAATTTTATTCCAATTCTGTAAAGGATTAGTAAGTAACGTTTCTATTGAATAATTGAAAGGTGATGATTGAGAAAATCGCTTACGTGATCTATCACTTTGGTGTTAAATTTAAAATTACAGCCCTCATGAATCGTGCCAATTTTCATTTCCCAAATTAGCTCATAAGTTCCCGGATAAATTGATACGAAAACCACAAATAACTGTTGGATTCAAAGGAATTGATTAGTGATCAATAACGAAAAAAAACTTTTTTGATTTCTGCATCTTTTTTTTTTTTTTACCTCAAAAAATTCGTGATTTGTCTTTATTACTTTTGGGTGATTTTCATCACTTTTTAAAAAAAAAAAAATTTAGCTTCTTAAGGGTATTTTAAAAGAAGAAATAATCGAATTTGATCAATCGAATTATGTTATACATACCTGGTTGATTCATACCAACGATTTGGAATGGCGAAATTTTCTTTCTCAGTAAAAACAAATGTATAATTCTTCCGATCTAAAGGAAAATCAAGTCTAAATTTCTATCTTTTTTTTTTTTTTTCTTTGTTTCAAAAACCTTAAGTTTTGATATTTACCAAATTCCTTCCAAATATCCATCCATTTATAATCTTGTACAAGAGTTCTTTTTTTATCTTTAACGATTCCCATCATATTAACAGGATATTCTCTCAGACAAACTTCCAACCAAAGCAAATTATCTTGCGCATGATATCTTAACTTCCTATTCGCCTACATTTCAAAACAAAGAAATGAAATCACTTTGTTGTTTTTTAACCTCAAAAGAAACAAATAATAATAATAATGTCTGATTAACTTAAATGGAAATCAATAATAATAATAATAACGCACCATGGATAGGTTTAACAATGAAATTCCATCAAGAAAATTCATAATAATTAACATGATTTCATGAGGAACTTTCATAAAATTATCCATTTTAATCTCTTTTTGATTAACAATTTTCTCATTTTCTTTTTCGTTACTACGCCATATCGATTGTCGTTTGGTTAATTTTTCCATGTTAAGTTAAAAAAAAAAAAAAAATAATAAATAAATTCTGAAATATAATATTCTTAAAAAAAAAAAAAAATTTATTGTTTAAAAAAATTAAAAAATAAAATAAAAATAAAAATGTTTTTTGTTAAATATTATTATTACCTTCCTTATTTCTATTGATGCGTGAAATGGAGTACAAAATATAAACAAATTATTATGTAAAATAAGCCTTATTGAGAGTTTATTTGCAGTTCGGATCGTCGATTACTTACAACTACAAATAAAAATATAACTTTTTTTAAATTTGGAAATTAATAATATTAATCAATTTATTAAGAAGAATAAAAAGGTATCAATATTCTCAACTATGTGATAACGTTTTAATGAGTCATACCTGGTGATATTCTGAGAGAAGTCCAACGATCGTTGCGTTGTTATCATCCTTTCAGATAATTATTAAACCGTAACTTATGTCCAAGGTAAAATCCCTTTGGTTCATTAAAGCCTAAAAATAACAAATGATAGATATTATATACTTTTCTTGTCAAGCTGAAACTGGAAATTATAACTTCTATTCTTTTTTTATTGTGACAATCAAGCTCATTATTAAAATGGGAGTCAATCATGATAACCACCCTGAATCACAATGCACATTTCTGCAGAATGACAAATTATTTGCCACCATCCAAAATGCGGTGCGGTACATTTTTTAAAAATATTCAAAACACCATTTCTAGTGAATTACGAAAGTTCAAACATGCCATATTTTCAATGAAAATTTAGATATTCAAAACTTATGTTTCGGTTTATTAGAAAAAGTTAAATACTCTGTTTCAATTTGTCTTTAAACCTTAAATATAAACAATTTTTTATCGCTATGAGTGAAGTGGTATGTTACTTTTAACATGCTGCAGTATAATTCGTATCATTACTTTCTTTGAGAAATATTCGCGACCTAAAATTATGAAGACGTCATTGTAAACAGTACCTTCGAAGACCACCAGCAAATAATGAGGGTTCGTCTTTTAAAGAAAATTAAATTTCGTATTATAATTTAGAAGGAATTTTTTTTCTTATTTAAATTCAAAACTGCTTTGATCCGAACATTCTCGGTACAAATAGTAATTTTCCTTTTATTAAATTTTTTTTTTTTTTTGGCAAAATATTAACGATCTGGATCTGCCACAATTTTTTTTTTTTTTTTTTTTATGTTGTACCTTCTAAAAAAAGCCGAATTCTTTTTGAGCGGTAAATAGTAAATAAGTCCTAATTCTTTTTTATTTTTAAAAATAAAAAGAAGGGTTACGATTAAATTGTAATTTTAAAATAAAATCTATTTCGAAATGAAAAATTGTTCATATGTCATCAGATTCTAATAATTATGAAATTTGGGACAGGACAAAGCCTCTAGGTTGAAAAATATGGAGTCATTTTAATTCTTTACGGAATATAAATAAAGATTTCGAACGTATGATTATCAAAATTACAATAAAAGTTGGAATTTAATAATGGAAATTAATTAAAAAAGAGATTAAAAATATCAATTAATATATATGATCGCAAAAATGTACTGTTGCCATTAGAAAATGGAGGATACAAAAGTATCCTCAATGTTCGAGATGCGATTTTACAACCCTAAATTGCATACCATTATCCTAGAATTAATTCTAAAGAACAAGGATTAAAACTGAGGTATTTTAAAATTTTTGGATTTTGGTTGAATAATAAATTTTTTATTTTTTATTTTTTTTTTTTACAGAAATCTATCGTGAATGCTCTCAAGAAGAATATTTTAGTGAGTGCCATTTTAAGTATGAATTGAAATAAGTTGATTTATCTTAAGTGATAGTATAATAATCTAAAAGTTTTTGTTTGTACCGGGAGAAATAGACTAAAGTTGGTAAACTTTAATTTATTTTTGATAATGATGTGTTCGATGTGGTCTTTTTTTATTTAGAATGATAATGCACAGTAATATGACAAGTTAGCGAGTCAATTTTCAAAAACTTACAGCAGCGGGAATAAACCAGAAGATTTATAGTAGAATGATGTTATCCAAGGGATCTATGTCAAAAGGCTTCGGGTCCTTTGGATACTGTACATACATGCAAAAAATCGTGAAACTTATGAACTTAATTTAAAATTGCATGATGTTCTTCTAAGGATGATTTTATTGTTAGATCCGTTGAGCGAATGCCGACTAAAATATTCTATATGGAGTTCATGTAAAATCAAAAAGAAATGATTATCTTTAAATTTTATTAAAGGTAATAATGGTCTATTTTTGGTTTTAACATACCGCTAAAATGCTCGAACTTCTTTCCTTAAAAGCGTTTAATGTATTTAGAATATCCCCTTTTATATATACATATAATTTTAATTAATGGGATAGTTGCTAAGAAAATGATCTGAGATTTTTTTCTTTGACTAAATTTAAATTTTAATCTAATAACGAAAAAAACTAATAAATTTTAAAAATTTCCAGAACCTGATTTTTCTTAACTTCCCCCCTAATGTCATTTGCTGTGGTAAATTTGCCTGAAATTTCCGAAATTTTGTATTGATTTAAATAAGGTATTACTAACATATTTTGTAGACATGTAATGCAGTTAAATTAGTCCGTTTGCCTTACAAAATCGCTAAATTTAAGGTACTAACAGTTATCACTTTATCATATTCAGATTTCATTTCAAATATTTGAAAGTTTTTAAAATAATTTCAAACGAATATCGATATCGAAATTGATCTCAAATATCCGAAAAGAATATGTATAAAAAAAAAAAAAAATTACGAAAAAAAAAATATTAAAATAAAAATCGATCGAATTGATTGATTTTGATATTCGAAATTCGATATTCGAATGTCCGAATCAAAAGAAATTATTGGATTGATTCGATTTTTTTTTACGAAAAAAAAAAAAAGTATAAAATAAAATGTAACATACTGGACTTTGTAGAACCCAATTACGGATGACACTCAATGGAGGGGTGAGAATCACTCTATTAAAGACCAAATTTTTTCTTTCCATTATGTCATTATGTTTCAAATATAACTTGAATTTTTTACCATCTTCGTCTTTCCAACTTATAAACTTCACTATTATATCTCAAGTCCAACTGATCAACACTCTCTAAAATCTTCTTCATCCCATAAAATTACATATATTTTTGTCTCTACTTGTAAGAAGATCTTGAAAAAACTTATTTATAAAGCGAAGTTTCGCGTGAATGTAAAAAAAAAAAAGAATTGATTGAGCACATGATCAATTGTAACATTTGCGATAGTTAACTATCATTTCGAATGTATGGTTAGATCGAAATCTCGACAAAGTGCGATATTTCTGAAAAATGTATTAAAGGGATTATTTTTTTTTTCCCTCAATATATCGAATTTCTTATTCCTTTATAAAATTTTAAATAGTGGCATTGATCGTGGATGATTTCATCTGGGTAAGAATTTTCACCGCACTTGTTGTACTTGTTGTAGTATACACCGTCAAGTATTACTATTCATGGTATACACGGGAGAATCCAATTCCTGGACCATTTCCTTTACCTTTAATAGGAAATTTACACCAGTTGGACTGGATATGGGGAAAGGAGCGCTCAAATTACAAAAGGAGTTTGGGGACATGTTTGAAATATACATTTAGGACCGACAATTTTTAAGTAGAGCGGAACTTACGGAGAAATTTATAATCCAACGTTAAAGAATAATGAATTCTCCCTTCGCATACTTTTAACCCAGGATTGGAGGAACTTCATCTAACAGATTCCGGTATTTCATTTAATAGGGATTTGGACGCTTGGAAATTCAATAGGCGTATCTTAAGCCACGCAGAGATGTCACCAAAATTCTTGAGGGAGAGCGTGGAATTCACCAATCAAATTGCGATGAGTTGGAAAAGTATTGGTCTACGATTAATCCCAATAATAAAGTTGATTTTGCAAGGTGGACTTCTTGTCTCACCGCTGAGATTATCGTGACCACTTCAACAGGAACCAAGGTTTCCATAGCCGATTATAATAATAGCCTACCCAATTCGATTAAAGTCAAGATTATCGAAAACATTCTCGAGGAATCTTTAAAATTTATTGAATCCATATATATGTTTATCTCATGCATTATGTTCTATTTCTCCTTTCCTACTTTAGTTAGAAAGTTCGTTCCTGTAATTAAAACGATGTACCATAAGTATCGTGACAACAATATATGGTTAGATGCCGAATTAGATAGGATTATCTGTAACAGAAAACGAGAAATCAAAAGTGCCCTTCTTGATCAACCTATAGAGAACAACATATTAGATTTATTAATCACTTTAAATACTGAAATGGATACCCCTAAGATCACTGGTATCGATAATAAGAGACCGTTGACTAACATAGAAATTTCCAGCGCGTTAAGGGAAATCTTTTCTGGAATGGACACGGTAAGTAACTTTAAAAAAAAAAATCAATTGTTATAAATGAAGTAAAATTTTTCATTGATTTGATCAACCTTTGCTCATTCCTTAGACCCGAAACTTAATGTGTTATCTCATGTTTTATATTAATAAATATCCCCAAGTTAAAGATAAATTGATTCAAGAATACGAATCGATCTACGGGGATCTAAACAAGAAATTAGATGTTACTTACGAATCACTTGATAAATTAGTTTATACCGAAGCCGTGAAGTCACACGTCTCATACCGCAAATACCCACATTCATGCGTGCTGCCACTTTTGATACCGAAATTGGTGGTTACAAGAACAAGAAAGAAACGACCGTGTTTACGAATTTTACCGGCATTCATCATCATAAAGATGATTGGGTTGAACCCGAAAAGTTCAATCCTGATAAATTTTTAAAAAATGGTGATCATACGATCGTTAAGAATTTTAATTTGACTTTTCGAGAGGGTATTCGAATTTGTCCGGGAAGGCATTGGGCCATGGAAAATATGAAATTTTAGTCAGAATTTTAACCAAATTCGAAATTAACCTCGCGCTCCGTTAAAATTATCATATCATGGAATTCAGCATTGTGTTGAATTATATATTTATATTAATCAAAATTCGAATGCTTAGATCTTATATTTTTTATTAATCAAGCAATATTAATTACAACACTAATTTGTTATATTGATTTATCTTTTTCTTTCTAATAAATTTTTCAATTGCATTTACCAATTCATATGCCCACTTGTATCCTCTTGTTGAAGAATAAATGTTTAATAAAAAAAAAAACTACACTCCCGACTGCATACTTGATAAATCAGGTATTATATTTCTCTGTTAATTGTTATCATAAATAGGAAGTAGCAAAGGAAATCCGCCCAATGGATTTATCTTTCGCAGAATATCAGAATATAGGGCCAACAAGAAAAAAGCCCAATTGCAATATTACTATATAATAATACTATTTTATTTTATGAAGTTAATAAATTTTATTTTAACGCTAATTGAATAAAATAATCTTTAATAGCGATTGTTTCAATGGAGGAATTTTTCAGCTCATATTTGTTGATGGTTTCGGGCGTTAATAGACAATCGTTATTCTTTGAAATGCTGATCATTTTCTGTGGTGGAGGAAATTAATTATTGCAATTTACTTTAGGTAAAATCCTGACCTTTTTTGCGGGCTCATAACCCAACTAAAGAAAATTCGCGCATGATCTGTGACTGAGCACAAGATAAAATTTAGAAATATATAGCCGTTTATGATTAATTAAGTTTTAGTTTAAAAAGCTTGAAGGATCGAGGAAAAAAAAAATCCTCACCTACTGTACATTCTCGCATGGTCCTCTAGTAATCAGTTGCCAAAATATTGGATGATTTTCTTAGTGATAGAGAAGGTTATATTTTATATGTTTATTTGGTTGAAAACTCAAAAACATGGATATATTACGTAGCAGTTTTTCTTTTCTTTTCTTGTATATTTGTATTGTTTCGCTCGTATTTCATTATTTCTGAGTAGTTTTTTTTTTTATTAAAAATTTAGTATATATCATTTTTTTATATCCTTTAAAATTTCGTAGTAAGATGTGAAGAGACGGAACTTTTTACTATCTTACGTGTATGTTGATGATTTACCTATATTTGCGAGTCGAATTGGGGCAAATCTTTTTTTTTTCGAAAAAAAAATTGGCTGCTCTTTTGTCAACATACTATTCCTAATTCCCTTTAAATTTCGATATAATTTGATTACTATTCAACCAAGAGAATAATATACACGATTAATTATTACTTAATCACGTAGAATAATTTAAATTTTAATCTACATTTCAACTATTGTGTTTTGGAAATGCAATGAAGGCATATGCCAGTGTATAATAAAAAACGATGTTGCAAACAAAAAAAAAAAATTCGATTCATTTTTTCTTGATTCTTTATCAATTAAGATTCGGTTGTTAAAAAAAAAAATGATGTTCTGTTATTACAAATGACGACGTTGCAAAACAAAAAAAAAAAATCGAATTCATTTTTCGTTTGATCCTTTTCATATAATATCAATAAAGATTCGATTGTTGAAAAAAAATGTGATATTAAAATTTTAGATTTTCGGTGATACGTTTCATTTTTCAGTTTTCATCGTTATCCTGACGACAAATCATCGAATTTGGCGAGTTTAATGAAAAAAAATGTTTATTTAAATCAATTTTGTTCAATCGAAAAGCACGCTTATATAAAGCATGGACTTATGTTAGAGTACGGATTATAATGTACGGAGGAGAGGACCACTTTATATTAATTAACATTGAGGACGAGAAGGATTAACATATTTTTCGATGTAACAGAACTTCGATATAGCGGATTTTTTTTGAAAGATCGTCATCTTTCGGAACTTAACGTATATATAGCGATTTAATGACACGACAAGATAAAAGTACTACCTCAAATGCATTAATCGCTTTTTGAAAGTTTAGAACATTTGAAAAAATTGACTGGTCTAAAAAAAATTGTCTATTGCCAATCCATTTCATGTAGTTGCTTTCTAGCCTTGTCGGCCTGAATTGGTAAATCATAAGTTTGTAAGTTTGGGCACGTGATTTTATATGCTTTACACCTGCTAGTTGATCGATCATGCACACACGATAAATAACTATAAACTATATTATAAATATATTTTTGGAATTCTATCTAATTGGACTGATCGAAAGTTTTATTTCGTGAATTAACCAAATCAAAAAAAAAAAAAGTTTTTTTATAAATAGTCAATTTTATTAATAACTTTACTCTATATATCATATTTCAATTAGAATACTTTATTTTTGAAAGGTTTTGTCGAGGTGATACGGGTAAAAGAAAAAACGATTGGAAAATTTAAAATATTTAACGATATAAAGTAATGAATTGCCATAATATGTTGATTTTTGTCAAAATTATTTTTTGATTTTAAAGAATATCTCTCGAACGAGAAATGATATTAATCCGATGATTAAATAAATGTGAATTCGACTTTGTGATATTTAATATGCATAATTCTAAATAATCTATCTTATTTGTAACCTAAAGAGACTTATTAATCTTTGATTATCCCATTCCCCTTCTGTATTTTAAATTAAGAAAGAAGGGTTGGACTGCAATTCTTTGTATGCCTCATCAGAAATATTTCGACATATTTCTTTGGTATAAACGCTTTCATTTCGCCATGCACGATTAATAATTAATCTTAGTACATGTTCTTGTTGTGGGTGAGGTAAAGATATGTCATGCATTTGCATCGCCTTTGTGAAAACATGTGAATATACCCTATATGCATTAGGCTTTTTTTCCAATTTCTTAGTTTTCTGTTCAGGAATGAAATTTCTCGGTATTACAGAAAGTGGGAAACAAGAATTAAGGACATGTCTTGTTGAATCTTGCACATGAATTAGTTGTTCTAGATTCATATTTATGAATGTTTTGATAAGAAAAGGTCAAAGTTAATTCACAAAGAATTTTGGGAATAAAAAAGATTAATGGTAAATATGAGACGTCTTTTGGGAAATGCGTAAAATATGATGTCTTGTGAAAAAAAAAAAAAAAATAAATATTTATACTTTTTATTTTTTTAGTTTTAGAGTATAAGTATTTTTTTTTTTTTTTTTTAAAAAAAAAAAACTTTAATGGGTTCGAATATAAATAAAAAAAAAGAAGGATCGATTTGCTTACCGATCCACCATGATTCTTCTTAAGTACATGTATTTAATAATAATGTTGACTCATCATGATGCACTTTAATTTACGTTTCATTCAAAAAATAATTATATTCGCGTATCACGAATTAATTTTCTGAATGAATGATATTACTTATTTATTGTAAAAGTTATAATTAGCGAGCTCATACCATCGAATTGAGTCGATTTCCGGCGAATCACGTACAACGTTTTGGGAATAGTCTTGTAATAAATGACCTATAATAAAAAAAAAGAATTATACTAATAATAATATATAAAAAGAACATCTAGAAAACAGAAATTATTTACCCTTTTTATATGCATACAATATGAAATTTTCTGTAATCATAATGGTTACAGCTAAATTTATACATTTTCTTATACATTATATAATATATATATATATATATTTGGATGTATTAGGCAAGTAGTTTCTACCCTGCATTATCTTGTTATCATATTCGGTAAATTTTGTTAATTACGCGATCGACAAAATTTTAAATTTAAAAGTTTATTAATTTACCATTAGGTTTAAGTAACTAATAAAAATCATACATTTATGTAAATAAAATTTTATTTATATGGTTGATCTACTATCAATGCAAACAAATTTCTTAATATACAGTATAAATCTATCATAGATTTTTCCTTGTTAACTAAAGGAACTGAATGTTGTCTTAATATATTAATTGAATTAACCTTATTGACGTATAATGACATCGCAACATATTTTCGGTATATATTCGCTTAAAAATTTTTAAATCAATTCTTATCTTTAATTCGGTCTTTGCATCTGAAAATAAACATTTATTAATAGGCCTTTTGACTTTTGGATTTTATAAGTGGTCGTTTATTTCTTATTTATACATATATTTTTTTGCATCTAATTCGTTAATTACTGACTTAATTCGGATTTTATGCGAAAAATTGATTCAATTCCAATTAAATCCTTATTTTTACAACACATACATCTATTCGCTATTTACTTTAAAAATTTTCAAATTGCGGATAAGATTTACTAATTATAATTCGTTTACTTCGAATAAATGATTCTTTAATGTATTATTATGTTTCCTTTTAAGTATAGTTTATAGTGTATACTGTATATATTTCCATTTTTAATCTTTTATGCTGTTAAATTAATTTTGCGATGAGTTCTTCGAATTTTTTATTGGATGTTCATATTTAATCACTCGGTTATTACTTGTTTCAGGCTCGTTTCTGACAAAGGTTTCCGTAATTTCAATTCCGACTGTTGTCAACACCACTTTAATATTATTGTTACGCCATTTCTTTGTTGGATTTCGCAGTACGTTGATCAATTTGTTTATATTTATCATATTTGTGCTACACTACCCAAGTACAATTACACTTCTTTTATCTATAGCAATGAATAAGTTCTTTTATACGATTGGAAATATGTATGACGAAAGAGTCTTAAAATACAACAAGTGCAATAAATCCATAAATTTCGAAAATACTGTACATCTGGATGCACAGTTGTTGATCAACGACTTCCTTAAAATGTCACGAAAACGAAATGGCCAGCATTACGGCATTAATCGTGGTGCACATGTGACGGATAATATGTGACGAATAGATTTTTCACTGCTGAAAATTGTTTCTTTGAATACTCAGTAAATAATGAAACGCGGATTAATTGTTCGTCTTTATGATTTATTATTAGTGACACCAATGACAGAAGATATCACGTGAAATTTCGTGGAAATCTTAATCAACAAGTGCGACTGTATCAATTCAATTGATATTGTTTTGAAAATATTATAACATAATTTTATGTCTTTATTATTTAATTAAAGATGGTACACTCACCTAGCAAAAATGACCGACCAACAATAATTTTGCGATTAAATACCTCATTTTAAATAAGTATATTTCGATAATTTACATATTAATTTCATATATTATTAGAAGGTAAGAACTTACAGTTTAATATTATAACATTATTTCCATTCGATTTTAACCATTTTGCTTAGTAGCTAAAAAAAATACAAAATTTTTTCGTTTTACTGTTGCTAATAGTAAACACTATCTCATTCAATGGGTATTAATTATAGATATATACTATCTTATACAGATTTGTAGCCCGATATTAAGCCTACAACCTTACTTATGTTGAAATTTAACGAAATTTAATGAAAATTGGAACTTTACTTAGAAGTGACTATTAATATTTTAATTTATATATAAATCTAATTTATTCAATAAATATTGATTATAAATATAAATTATTTTACAATAATTTGTAGCTCATAACATAATCTAGAACTTTACTTATTACAATATTTTATGGTTATTATTAAAAATTAAACTTTACTTAGACACGACTTTTATATTATTAGTTTCAAAATTCATATAACGATCATCAATCGATTACGATGATCACATCTCAATTTAGCATTTAACTGCATTGCGACGACATATATTTCGTTATGCTAAACAAGTTTACTTGGTTACTAAAATTTGATAATAATTACAATAAATTTTGTAATAAATTTTATAAGATTTTCAAGAAAGATACAATTCATTACGATGTACAAGTTTACTTATAACACCAAAGTCAATTTTATTAATAAAAAAATTTTTTTCTTATGACGCTAATGTATGTATTATTATTCTGATTTTGGAAAAGTCGGTCATTTTCGCTAGGTAAGTGTACAGTCTCTATAAATGCATCTCTAATTGCACACACTATATATTTTCTCGTTAAATGCATATACTTGTTCGGTTTCAAGCATTTGGAACCTTTACAATAGAAAGGGGGGAAACAGTCAAAAAAAAATCAATTTTACTTTTATATGCCAAATATGAATTTTAGGTCAAAATTTAGCATGAACTCAATTTTATTTTTCCAGCTATTTTTCCCTTTTCTATTGCAAGGTCTTATAGAAATCTTATAAAATATTTCTTAAATGCATATCCTCTTTAAATAAACATTTTTTAAAATTTTACTATAGTCTCAAGAGAATGCATTTAGAAAGAATTTACTATATTAAATTATGAAAAAATTTTGATACATTTTTTTTTATTATTTTATACCAAGGATATTAAATAAACTATTATTATCACTTGTTATTTAAGCGTCCTTATTCTAGACCCCTGATTTAGGGTGAAAATTATAGACCCCCAGGGTTTAGGCAAATTAACTTAGATCTCCCTCCTTTTTTAATAATTCCAAAATTGGTAGATAGATTGGAATTTTTTTTTTTCTTTAAAAACGAGACAAAAAATAAAACTAAATTTAATAAATAAAATTAAAAACAAGAACGAACAGTTTTACTTAAAATTTCTGGATAATACTGTAGATGA